CTGCTGCCCCAGCTCTGGCCCCTGATCCGGCCCCTCTGCGGAGGGGCCTCTGCGCCCTTGAACATGGAGCCTGTTCTGTGGGTACCAAATTTGAAGTGTCATCTTAAAATAGTATCATTTAGAAAAATCAAGTGCCTTTCTTCAAATTTTTGTGAATTACATGTTTTTAAGGAGCTCTATTAAATTGAAAATACTTAGAGAATACATAAGTAGTAACTGAGAATAATGTATACCAGCTAAGATGAATTTGAACAGGCTTGATGTAGAATTTGTGCTAATTGGGACGTATTATCTAGGTGTCATTTTTTCTTTGTTTTGCCAACAAACAGTTTGCTAATTAATGGAAGAATTTAAGGAAGTTTGGCTGAAAAAGATGTGAAGCACTTTATGTATGAACCATACTTGGCAGCTCTGTGTCTCTAGACTGTTTGATTATTCTGTGACTTACAAGGCAACAGCACGCATCTTCAAAAAAGTTTTCTAAGTCAGGTGCTTTCTGTGTCCAAATAGTGAATGTTAGTGCGTTTCAGCCTCCACTGGAACTAATTATGGAAATTGGCCATGGCAGATATTCAACATGAAACCACTACAGATCGTGTTTCCCTCAAGGGCGGACCCCGAAAGCCCGATCATCGACCTGGACCTCCACCTGCCGCTGCTGTGTCTCAGCGCCGAGAAGGTGCTGCAGGTAGGCACCCCCCCCCACCCAAGAGCGCCTCATGCTGCCGTCTCACTGGGGCATCAGAGCTCCTGTCGTGTTAGAGGGGAGTCACATGCAGGCATGCCCCACAGGGTACAGTGTACCGGGGATGTTTATTGTTTTGCTTAAAGCTGATGTCCACTGCCAGTGTGCACTGTTTGTGAACAGGGTTTTCTGTGGGGCAGGGTGGTCTTCATTTGGCAGGTAGAGTGGGGAGAGCAGGGTGACGCCTGCAGGGCTCCTGGTCTTGCTGGTGGCACACTGCAGGGGTGCCTGGAGTGTGCACATGGTCTCATTGGCCCCCCAGGTCCTCACCTGCCTTCTCACGGAGCAGCGGGTCGTGTTCTTCTCCTGCAGCTGGGCACTGCTGACACTGGTGGCCGAGTGCTTCATGGTCTACCTGCACCCTCTGCAGTGGCAGCACACCTTTGTGCCCATCCTGTCCCGGCAGATGCTGGACTNCTCGTTTTCTCATGGCCGGCTCCTCGTCTCCCGGACCATCTGCCTCCTGTTCTTGGAAAGGCCTCTGAGCCGCCTCCCACCCCCACTCCCCACCCAGCGCTGTCCTGCACACTCGGCGCAGTCTGTAGTTAAGGCTTGTGTTTGTGTTTTTGTTCAATGTCCGTTTTCTTCATTGAACACTGAGCTGCACGAGGGCAGAGACTCTTCGGAGCTGTGCATCTGGGGCTTTCTACCGTGGCCGGCACGTGACCGCTCCAGCAGCTGTTCAGCGAGTGGGTGAAAAGTCGAACCAGGCTTCAGTATTAGCCAGTAGCGTTCATTAAATCCGACTCTGCACGTAGGTCTGGTCAGTCGGTCTGAATGAGCCGGGTCTGGGTCAGCTTGTCACAGTGACCCTCTCTTGAGAAGCCCAGTCAGCTGTTGGGTCCAAGTTGATATAATGGTCACGATCTGTTTTAGGGGATATTGTGTAATAGCTGTTTACTGTTTTGAAGACATCTGTGAGGTCAGTGGAAGCCAAGGTCCTCATCTGATCAGGAGCCCGTTCAGCAGTATTTCCCAGAGCCCCCGGAAACGAATGTCCATTTAGAGGCCGTCGTAGAGAACGGTCCTGAGTTCTGGCGTCTGCCCAGCGTGCACGCGCCCTGCTGCAGCGCTGTTACCTCCCATTCCAGGTCGTCGCCGACGGCGCTGACGGGGGTGAGGGGCCCAGTTCAGCACGACAGCAAAGGCATCCGGGCCCCTCGTCCCTGGGCCTCTCTGCTTGCCTGCCCACTAACGGTCTGATTCTCCTTGCTCCCCAGGCACGGGCACTGCTGGCTGTGCCCCATGAGACGCACACCTCCCCTCTTACTGTGCCTCAGCCATTTCTATGTTGCTTTGTATGTGGACCTGTTATTTTTCTGGGGCTCCAGTCAAGCTGAAATTTGGAAAGTATTTACCTGAAAGATGTCCCTCTTCTCAGTTTTTCTGTCTGTGAAGTGGGTGGAACAATGGAACCCATCTCAGAGGGTGTGCGTCTTCATGCCGTGAACACCACCCCTGGGTCCGAGCTGTCCAGGGCTTGCCGGCGTCCCACGTGGGTGGTGAGCTCCCGTGCTTGGTTCTTATCTTTGATTGGGTGACTGGCAGGCACATTTACTTTTGAAATGTTGAGGAGGGTTTTTCATTAAACTTCACATTTATAAATAGTTCATCACAACTTGGACATTTAACTCTATTTTGTTTTATTTTTGAATATAAAGAATCTCATTGTTGAGTGACTCCGCCTGCCTTTCCAC